CCACCTCGAATCATACGCGGTCATATACAAGATAAAATGAAATCAATATTGAATATAAACGAAGCACAAGAATTGAGATACTGGAAAGGAACCTGGAGACTAATAGAATTGTTGCATATCATTCGTTGCCCAGCAAAAATACTTGTTGAATCTGGTATAACATCAAGATATTTAACCAGAACTAGTAATATTGAGTATGACCAATTCCTCAGAGATCTTTTAAAAGATAATTGTGCTTACCATACAAACCCTAAGTTCGATGAAAAGTTATTACAAAAAATTAAAAAATTAGAGTTATAAACACAATTTTAACGCTAAAATAACGTGATTTCACTGACCATGGGCTGGTGAAATCATGTGATATGGTGGTTTGTTGTCATTCAGAATTTGTTGTAGGGTGTATAAAAAATGCAAAAAAAAAAACCAAGTTAGCATTGAATAATATTGAATGATTTGCTAAAAACTGATAGAATATCAACACGAAGAAATAAAAAAAATTTTCTTCTATCCTTTATTATAAATAAACTTGATTATAATAGCATACTATAATTTAAAATTTACAGTATACCTTGTTGCATCAATACCGAATTATTTGATCGTAAGGTGGCAATTTTTTCGCACTATTAAAGATATTTTATTTAATTCTAAAAATATAAAAAAAATTAAAAATATTCTAATAAAATTACATTCTGATAATATTAATCTTATTCGAATTTTTGATGAGATGTTCTTAACAAATAAAATTTCACGTGATAAAATATTTTTTTTACTTTAAATTTTATTTAATGCTTGCCGAATATACTCAAAATGCACCTTAAGCATAAATTTGATAGCAGCTTTGGTAAACATAATGTTGGTAGAATTATGTTTACCAGAGTTATGTTTACCAGAGTTATGTTTACCAGAGTTATGTTACCAGTTATGTTTACCAGAGTTATAAGTTATGTTTACTAGAGTTATGTTTACCAAAGTTATGTTTACCAGAGTTATATTTACCAAAGTGGCTATGCAAGCCGGCTAATGAATCAAAAGATTCAAAATTAATATACGGAGTTGTACCATACATTGCACCTGAGATATTTAATGAAGAATTTTTTACAAAAGCGACTGACGTTTATAGCTTTAGCATGCTCATGTGGGAATTCACTTCCGGAAAGAAACCATTTGCTGATCAATCACATAATACACTTCTAATTTTAAAAATTTTAGATGGACATC